CTGGTACGCACCAGCGCTCTGGATCTTGCTGCTGTTCACTCTTGCTCTCTCCCTCCAAGGCCATGGAAGATGCCCACCTGGACGCCATTCTCATCTTGGGGGAGGCCTTCGCCTCGGACGAACCCTTTGATTTTGGTACCCAGAGCACCACCGAGAAGATCCACAACCTGATTCCCATCATGCTGAAGCACCGTCTCATCCCACCCCCAGAAGAGACCTACTCCCTGCACAGGAAGATGGGAGGCTCCTTCCTCATCTGCTCCAAGCTGAAGGCCCGCTTCCCCTGCAAAGCCATGTTTGAGGAGGCTTACAGCAACTACTGCAGGAGGCAGGCAGAACAGCAGTAGTTTGGGGCCACGGCTGCAGGCTGTCCCCTACACGAAGCTCAATCTGAGAGGTGGTGGTACAGATGCCAACTCTGAGCCCTGTGGCCCAGCACGAAAGGGAGGCAGGTGTCGTGGAGCCCCTAGTGCCAGGGATAAACACGGCTTTCACTGCGAAGTGGCTGTCAGGTAACAAGTATAAGAACGACAGTGAAATTCCACTATCTCAACACGCCCCTTCCTTGGCACTGTAGGTAAGAAAGCAGTTTTCTTTTTCCTAAAGTGAATGTTAACCAGGGTTAAGAGTACTGACTCCTTCATCTCTGCCACCAACACCAAAACCAGAGAAACCTTTTTGGATTTTCTCAGCTGTGCAGTGTGAGGTCTGTGTGTGTTTTCAGAAAGCATTTGTGGTCTGCCCCTCTGCCCAGCCTGTGTAGTCTGGAGCTGGCAAGAGGTGCTGCTGCTTGACCACGGACCAGCCAGGACCGCTCTGGCTGGACCTTACCCTTGGAAAACGGAAGCTGCCCTCTGCATCATGGTGGGGGAGGCATGGTGAGGGACAACCCTGCCTGTCCCCCCTGCAGGACCTTGCAGAGGACAAGTGTCACTGCTTACACTGGAGGGTCAGCACAGGCTCTGGGTTTTTGTATGAGTCTTGTAATGATCTAATTTACATTGTTTCTGTTCAATAAAAAAGTGCCTGTGAAAGTGCTTACTGATAGTACTGTTTTCTGGAGGATGGTGATGACCATGGTGTCCCTGCTCTCCCTGAGGGGATCCCAGGCCTGTGGGAAGACAGTGACAACCGACAGCAGGGACAGGGCTCACCCAGTCAAACCCACTTTCAAGGTCAGCTCAGCTAAGAACCACTACCTGAACTTTGCTGGGGCCCTTCCTGCAGGCCTGTGAGCACCTCTGCACGTCCAGAGAGCACAGCAGCTGCCAACAGGCCCTCACATACGTTCTAGCAGGTAGGGTTCTCAGAAGGCTGGCTTTCTCAAGTCTGGGACTGCTGAGTAGGAGAGGGCTGGGCCCTGAACAGGAAGTAGAGGTCTGGGTGGTCTGCAGAGGCAACCTGGTCTGCACTGGCTCCGAGTATCCCCTGTGGTCTGCATGTGTGCAGGCTGTCACAGCACAGACCCCCTGTGCAGTGAGCCACCGGCAGAGCCCGGCCAGCTGCACTGGGGCTCCCACAGCCTCTTCTCAACCCAGCTGAAGTGGCAGCAAGGAAAGGAAAGAATAGAGCAGCAAGTATTTGCTTTCTGAAGAACCACCGGCCATGCCTCTTTGTGGACAAGAGGAATATTCCAAGGGTGTGTAAACTACACCCCAGTCAGCCAGACAGCCTTTAACAGTCCTTGCACTGTGGGTTATTAAGGCTTGTGACTGGGCTGTATCTTTGGGTGTCCAACAGCAGTGAAGAGCTGGACACATTGGAGCACAGTGTTTTTGTTTTGTTTTTTTTTTTTTTTTTTACTGTGAACACTGGTGATCAATGACAAAATAGAGGCTAGGCATTTTTCTAAGTATTAAATGTATTAAATGTATTAACTCCAGACAGAGTGGGCATTTGATAGAGGAAATAACAGGCTTGGATGCTCAGCAGCGTGCCAGGAGGCAGGTTCTATATGGTGGGACCAGGATCTAGGAATGCTGTCTTAGAGTTCAGGCCAATACTAGTCTATATTGAAGACGGGCCAGCTAGGCTGCAGGGGCTTGATGCAGCCTTGTGCATCCTGGATGGTTCACGCCCATTTGGGCTGTCTCAGATCACAAGAGAGCAGCAGAGTGCACAGCTGCACCAGAGACTGTGGCAGGAGCTCCCAAGGCCAGACAGCTACTGGCTAACCTCTCACAGAAAAGCTTAGCAAGCCCAGCTCAAACACTGTAGCTGCTACCTCCAAAGCAAGCACACACTGTATCAAAGTAACCAGCACTTCCTCCCTTCCATGAGTCCTGGGAAAGTATGTGGAGTAACTAAAGAGCTGCAGCCCTGGCTAACACATTCCTTTGTTAAGATCCTCCCTCTTCGTGCCTGTGCCCCTTCTGAGGTCACAAAAATAGTACCTCTTGTTCTAAGTGGATACTGACTCTGCTCTAAGCATTCTCCAACCAAACTGCTGGACGTGGATACTGTTGGAGCCATACAGCAGACCTCATGTGGACACAGATTGGTCTTACAGACTGAATGTTAGGCAAGTTTTGACCAGAAAAGCGAGTAGAAAATTTGAGAGTTTAATCTCATTCTTACCTGAGCTACTAGCAAAGCAGTAGTAGACTGAGCCACCGGGTCAGGGCAAGCTAACCCCAGGTCCTCCAGTGGCCGCGAGGAGACCTGCAGGAAGAGCACACTTGCAGAAGGCGGGTCGAACAGACAGCAACAGTCAGTCACGCTGGCAGAGAAAAAAAAAACGAACTACTCAAGGCTAATAGTTCCCTGTTTTATTGCAATACATCAAAGTCTGGTTAATATTAAGTGATAACAACAAAATATTGGCAAAGAATCTTATGACATGTCTTACTATCCCACTTTAAATATTTCTGTGCAAAAGAATTCACATCATCGTTTGGTAGCAGAGATCTATCTCTTAAGTTCTCTAAGATTAAGGGCATAAATTCAAACAAAATAAAGTGATAAGGAGGCTAGAGTAGCATCTTTACCTCGTCCATACACACATTTGTCAGCATTAAATTCTAAACAAAAAATGATTACACCTAGGCCATGCAAAACTGTACAATATTACAAGAAAAAAAAAACCCCTAAAAATTTTATAAAATAAATGAAATTACACTATCAAATAAAAAAGCAGGTTATTTTGTTCATGAGATTTCTAGGTCGGTCTGTTTTAGCCTGTCCTGGGCAGTGCCAGGGGTGGAAGGGATGTGTCCGGCAGGCCCACCCGGGCAGCAGCACTCCCACTGGGGCAGAGCCCCCCTTACCTAGCTGGACTCCTCGGAGGACTCGAGACTTGAGCAGTAACTAAAGTCATGGCTAGGAGAAAGGGTTTAAAATGGGCTCAATTAAAAAAACCACACAGCTTATCAAACTCAGGGGCTGGCCCAGGGAGAGGTGAAGGAGTCAAGTGCCCAGTTAGGTCCCTGGCAGACCTGCCTGCTGGGAAAGTCTGATGTGTACATGAGGGTTGAGCTGTTGAGGAGCCTCAGGCTGGAGAGTGAGGCGGAAGCCTCAGGCAGGCCCGTGCAGCCAGGCCATGGCAGCGCCCGTGACCACCACCAAGGCCGGCCAGGGGCCCTGCTGCATCTGGCAGCTTAGCATGTCCACTCACCGTCACTGTTCAGTGCTGAGAGCCCACACCAACGCCACTGGTTTTTCTCAGAAATGGAAGTGAACACTAGATAACATGATTCTAATCATCAGGAAGGAGAAGGGCTGAGAGCCAACCAGGAATAGACAGGAATTTCAGATTCATTCTTGAAGACTGGGAACAAAAATTGATTGGAAAACTAAATAGGCTCTTTTTAAGTTTTATTTTATAGCCTTAGAGCTGTGCTTTCAGGAAAAGAACATCAATCACTATGTGTAAGAGTGTATAAACTGAGTGTGTAAAAAAATAACTAAAAAAGTAAAATTGGCTTTAGCCATTACTGGACAAAGAGGAAGGCTTTTGTTTTTGGCAAAAAACAAATACATGTATTTGTGTAGGTACTTGAAAAAAATCTTACACCCCCCAAAGCACATGACAAGATCCGTCAATTTCAAGGGTGGACAGCGAACTGGCTGGACAGAGCGAGCACCGGACAACAACAAACCATGCCAGAACTGGCTCCAAATGCACTTTCTTTTTACTGAGAAATTAGTCCCAGCTGTCATTTATATTAAAAACAAAAAATCCCACAGAAAAAACAAAGCCTGATTTCACACAGTGATAAAAATACCTTTTCTGTGATCTTTGTTACTGACCCCTTAGAATCATCCTTTAATTTCCTGTTTCCCTGCACCCTGTTCCCTGGCTTTTCAAATTATGCTTCTGAGAAGCTTCTGAAGGTGAGTCATCTTAGCTAAGGGTTTTTAAGATAAGCCCAGGAGGTTACCATGTTCTTGAGATTTCCTCTTAATGATTTTCTTGGCAGTGCTTCTCCCCCAATCTCAACATACCTGCGATACTCGCTGCCTGCCTGGCCAGCCTGGTCAGCCTGGCCACCAGGATGAGGCTTTGGGGGGCACTGTCATCTGGGAGCAACTCACTAGAGCTGAGCCTAGGGTAGAGTTGTACTTAGACTGTAAAAGCACCACAGGCAACAAAAAAATCACAGTTAATCAAAGCTACAAACTAATGGCTTAGTGTGAAGTCCTATTAATCTTGGCCAGGGTCTGTCCCGCTCTTCCCGGGAGAAAGGAGAAAGGAAGAGAGAACAGGGAGAGCAGTGAGGAAGAGGAGGAGGAGATGATGAGGTCATAAGCTACTGGTGCTGGCTGGCTAGTTTAGTGCTTTATATTTGGATGTATATCTATACTTTTACATGACCCTTCTTTTCCAAAACAAAAAGACCCAAGATTTTGGAGATTAGCACTATTTAGTGTTGTTATATTTCAAAATAAAAACAGAGCTAAGCCAGCCAGCACCAAATCTAGAATGCATAAGGTAAAAGCTGTTCTTTAAAATTCCCTATTAAAAGGACTTGCACTATCTTCTAACAGGATCCTTCTCCCTCCCCAGAGCTCAGTGACCTCCGTGAAGTAGCAGGAAGCTGGGTATGGGCTCAGGTCCTGCAGTGTGGCAGGCTTGCTAACTAATGCAGGCCAGGGGCAGGAAGGGAGATGACAGGGCTTGGACACTGACAGCAAGGGGACAAACACAGAAGTATTATGATTGTAGCTCAATTTAAAGGCAAAAGGAGAAAACATGGTTTCCATTTTTGGGGGAAAACAGATGAAAAGCAAAAGACAGATTCTCTTTACTTCCATGAGATAAATTTTATTTTTTCTTGTTCTACTCATGTGTTTAACTGGTGAAATGACTATAGGAATAAGTACTTCTGGCTCTGCATCTCATTTCCTTATGGCAATTAAAACAGTAGGAATTCAAATGGAATTACAGTGACCTAGGAAGAATCCAATCAAAATGGCCATGCTGGGCTAACTCCCTGCCAGTGCACTGGGGCCAGTCACATCCATTCTCCAGTGGCTGCGGGAAGGAATATTTGGTTAAGGCTGTTCAAGTCCATGCTTTTGAGGTTTTATATTATTTGGTACCGAAAGCCCCCTTTTCCCAGGCTTTTGTGAGGAGGCGCACAGCCACTCTCAACCAAGCAGGCTGCTCCTTGGAAGCCTACTCTAAGCCTCCAAATGGCCACCTCACTGTAAACTGGGAGGTACGGGGTTAGCCCAGGAAAAAAGCACTTGGATCTTTTAAAGGGCCTTCAGAAGCTGTGACAATCTGTAGACTGTGAAACAGACTGGATCAGAAGGTGACAGGATCGTATTTTTACATTCATTTGCACAGGATATAATGTAGTAAGAAACAAGAAATGTGGTTCAAATTCTTCCCACCAGAAAAAGAAATGTCTTGGGTACAGGTGAGTTTACCTTTAGATGCCACTATTGATGTGGCTTTAACACATTCAAACTTTGGTTCCTGGGTGGGCCTGTAAACCAGAGAACCCCAAGTCCGCAGGCTTCCGGCACCTCAACATGCCGAGGGTGGAGACCAGGGCACTAAGCAGACTGCATTCTTTCTTCTCCCTCTATCAGCACCAGCTAAGGCCCTGCGACCCTTGACCTTACTAAGCTGGGAAACAGATAAGGAACACATTTTTTTTTAAATTAATGATCTCTTTCTCATATATGCACCATCTTTCATTGAATACAAGATGCTTCTTTTGCTATATACATTCAGTATTTAACTTCTACATTTATGTATTTATTTAAACTCTGTACTGTAGTAAAATATGCATTGTTTTAATTCATAAGGACTTCCCGGCAACACTCAGGTGACACACAGTGCCGTCCCAGGGATGGTCCGCCCTTAGGGCGCCGAGAAATCCATGGGTTGTCTCAGGACTAAAGTGAGGCTCTACTGTGAAACAAAACCTGTCTAATCTTATTCTTATCATTTACACTTGTGTGATCTGTCTATTTAAGCTACCTTTTGAGGGAAAGGTAAAATATTACTGAAAGCAACTCTAAGGGAATGAATGGAATGAAACAATATTGATCTAAGCTGCTTAAAGAAAGTCTGCTTTTGTTGCTGCTGTTAGGCTGGGGTATGGATCTGTGAGGCGTGTTGCCAGAACCCGAGTCCCTACCCTGCTACTGCCACCCATCCCTGGTCATTTTCGGGCTTTAGGCCAAGGTGGAGAGAAGAAACGAAAAGGAGAAGAGCTGAGTGGAGAGGAGCCGGCAGCCAGAGCCACCCTGGTCCAAGTGCTAAAGCAGCTCACGGGTCCCAGCTCCCACGGTCGGTGCTCTCCAGAGACAGGCTCTTGGTCTTTCGGGGTGAAACTGGGCTTGGGGGGCTGCTTAGGTTGGAACTGTTGGAAGCTGTGGAATGCCTTGGAGAATCAGAGTCCTGTAAGGCCCAAAATAAAACATTAAGTCAAAGGAGTGAAAGGGTCCCCTCCAGCCACTGGGACCAAAGAACAGATGGGACTCCATTGTTAGCAAAAGCCCCTTTGGAGAACAAAGAGGAAGTGACAAGTGCTTTCTGCTGGCCTCTAGAGTTCATACAGAAGCCACTGGTGTCTGTGCACCTCTGGGGAAACTGCAGAAGTGGCCCTATTGCTCTCATTGCTCCAATGGTGAGTAAACACTGACACACACCCCTCCCCCGCCTCCAGGCTAATCTCAAGGTGGTGGAATTACTTAGGTAAAAGCCTGGTCTTCTGATACATACTGTCCCCCAACCTGTCTCTAGGTATCCCTGCAACCCCACACTCCCATCCCTCACCTCTCCATCATAGTCCCTTGCTGGTGTGTCACTTCCTTGGTCCATGCCTCCGGAAGACAGAGAGCCCTCTGATGGGGATGGCATGGGCTGTCGCTTTGCGTTGTAGCTTCCGCCAGAGAATTCCCGCTTTAATGCACTGCCGTTCTGAGCAGATGACCCTATGGTACAACAATTAGGCAAACTTCACATGTTCAGAGGAGGCCCATTCCTTAACAAGTCCCTGGCTGCAGAGACAACCTGCCATCCTGCTCGTGCCCTGAAGGGAATGATATTCAACAAGCTCCACCTGTCAATCTTGCCCAGTCATTCTTGCTGATCTCAGTCCATGGGGAACTCTGAGTAGGCCACATGCTCCGGATGGTGCAGCTGGCCCAGCCTTGCTTGCTAACAGTTCTCACTCAACCAGTTCTATCTCTTCCCACCCCCTGGGGTTCCCATGCTGTTTTCAGCCCTCTTTTCTGGAACTTATAAACATGTGCCTGCCATCCTCCTAACAGATATGGTGTCTGCCTCTCCAGGACCTAGCTCAGGATATGGCATATAGCAGGCTCAAAATAGGTGTGCTTAATGAGGGAGGTGGAAGGAAGTATGCTGCCTGACAAACTTAGAGCTTTTAGAAACACACACACACCCACACACACACGAAATATTAAGAAGCACTTTCACTTTACAGGGCAAAAAGGCTACCATACAAAAATGAAGCTGAGTCTCTTCCAAATCATACACTATTTTGATTTTAGAGTTGCACAACGGGGTACATAACATCCATACAAATGAAAAAAAAGCTTGGAAATAACGAGGACATTGTTAGTACCACTTTAATACTCTCAGTATTCTTCAGCTTCTATTTTTAAAAAAGAACCTTGAAATCTATGTACAATTTGTTCCTAGTATGCATTTTCTATGAAATCTGAAGATCGTTCATGTGCAAGGACTCTAATTTTGTTTGTATTAAAACTCTTTAGGTTTTTCATGGACTTTGTAAGGTATTGTCATTCAGCTCTAAGACACACATTGTGACTGAGTCAACTCCTGATTTAACAAATCTCAATTTTTAAAAAATATTAAGAATTCAACAAAATCACCAAAGTCTTTTAAATCAGTTAACTAATGATCACCAACACAGAAGTGTCCATATGTAAGTGAAGTGAACATGAGTCTGCTTAGTAGACTGTATCCTCAGTAATGCCCCCTCCACCGCCTTCTCTCCTGTTTCTTGACTAATTCCTTGGCTTCAGAGACACGATGGCATTTTCCTGACTGACCATAGAGGCCAGCAATGTTGGCAGTATATTGGGATAATTGCAGAACTGGCTCTATAGCACGTATGAAAAATGCCTGGGCCCTATCCTGTATCAATTACAGAATTTGATTTAACTTAAAATATTTTTAAAAACCATTTACTATATTTGAAAGGTACACAGACAGAAATCTCCCATCCACTGGTCTATCTGTCAAATGCCTAGAAGTGTCAAGGCTGGGCAAGGCTGAAGCCAAGATCCAGGAACTCAAACTGGATCTCCCTTGGGGGTGACAGAGACCCCAGGGTGTGCATTAGAGTGGGAAGCTGGAATGCAGAGCAGAGTTAGGACGCTGTCCCATATGCACACTGGTTCGTGTCCAAGCTGTACCACTTCCCTTCCAGTTCTATGCTTGTGGCCTGGGAAAGCAGTAAAGATGGCCCAAAGTCTTGGGACCCTGCACCCCATGGGAGATCTTTAAGAAGCTCCTGGCTCCTGGCTTCAGATCAGCTCAGCTTTGGTCATTGCAGCCACTTGGGAAGTGAACCAGTGGAAGGAAAATCTTTCTGTATTTCCTTCTCTATATATATCTGCCTTTCTAATAAAAACAAATCAATCTTAAAAATAAAAAGCTCGGGCCCGGCACGGTGGCGCAAGTGGTTAAGGTCCTCGCCTTGCACGCCCGGGATCCCATATGGGCGCCGGTTCTAATCCCGGCAGCACCGCTTCCCATCCAGCTCCCTGCCTGTGGCCTGGGAAAGCAGTCGAGGATGGCCCAAAGGTTTGGGACCCTGCACCTGCGTGGGAGACCCAGAAGAGGTTCCTGGCTTTGGATCGGCATAGCATCGGCTGTTGCGCTCACTTGGGGAGTGAATCATTGGATGGAAGATCTTCCTCTCTGTCTCTCCTCTCTGTATATCCGCCTTTCCAATAAAAAAAAATAATAAAAATAAATCTTTAAAAAAAAATAAAAAGCTCTTCTGATGATCTTCGAATTCAAACTGGGTTGAGAACTAACACACTGATTTAATATCCTTCCTTCCACATTCCACCTCCCATCATCCAGTTTCTAGACACAGTTGTTTGCTAGACAAGCACAGGTTTTCACTGATTAGTGTTTCTTTGAAAATGTACTCTACTTTTTTGATGTGGCTCTTCTGTTTCCTTGGAATATAACTTAATTGAAGGCATAGGTCATTTTTATTTGATTTTCCTTCCAAGTCCATGCTTAAATGCAGTGCTCAGATTAACAAAAAAGTATGTTATTTAAAAGTTTTGCTATTCTAAATAGAAAACCCAAACTTCAAGAGACTTCTGTGATTTTCCTGATAATTGTATGACTTCTAGTCAGTCATTTTGTTTGAGTTTTAGTCTATTTATGGGGACTTTTGGGGAACAAATGAACACTGAATCCATGAGGAATCAAACACAAGACAGAAGGTAATTGAAGGGGTTTGCACTGTGTTTTATACATTCATTTACACTGTCATGTTTGCTCCATTCTGGTATTCATCTGTAGATACAAAATTTAATCCAGAAAATTTAATCTCACTCACTCCAGTACTTTATATTTTGAACATTTAAAAAAATTTCAAGAGTCTCCTTTCAACCATCACTTCAATCTCAAAAAAAAAAAAAAAAGTTCAGGTGGGCTGTTTTGATTAAATAGTACAAGAAGTCCAGGAAAATGACAATGATAGTCTCAGTATGAGACCACCTGCTTAAGCTAGTCCCTTCTGTGGTGTTAGATGGCAGTTCTGGAGATGGGGCGTGTGACCTTGAGAAGCTGCTGTGAGCCCATCCTCCAGTGGACTAGAGGGTGGTTGAAACCACTATTTCATCTGACTTCACATCATGTGTCCATGTGTGGTGTGGAAGATCCCTTGCTTCTCACTGTAGATAATGACAACACTTTCTCCTGTCTCACTCTCTCTCTGGACTGTTCTTGGAGCAAGTAGGATGCATTTCCATAACAAATAATCCCTGGCATTCTTGGAATGGTCTTTCCTAAAAAGGCCAAGTTTGATGAACATATTCAGGCCTTGATAGGAATGCATGGGTAACTCTAGTAGTTTGCATATGGACACAGCAACCATAGGACCATTTCAGTTCTAAGATCTCTGTGCAACAGGTCTTACTTCACCTTGCTTTCCAAGTTCCTTGATCTGACACATACCTCACCCACTTCCTTTTTTATTACTCCCTCACTAATATCACAGCCCACTAGCCTTCTTCTAGTTAATCACATATGATTCCACCCCTAGGGAGAGGATGAGATTTTCCTTATTTTAGGTGGAAATTTATCCCCAATAGCTATTAATTATTATTCTCTACTATTGTACTCTGTTGATTTCCTTCACAATTACGACCTGTAATCCTTTCTGTGTACCGAATAGACTGTGTGCTCTAGAAAGACTCCAGGATTATTTCTTAGCCAGACACTTATGCTTACTAGGCATTTTAACATGGTCTGAGATCTCGTAGTCATGTGGGCATGCACTGAGCATGTCCAAGTGAAGAGCATGCCACCCAGGGGACCAGCTGGGAAGCAGCCCCGCTTACTTACTTGCTGAGAGGCCACTACTCGCACTCATGGAACGACCTGGCTCAGGGCGGGACTTGGTGATAGACGGAATACTGACTGAGCCACTGAATACTGCCCGATTTTCCTGAGGCCGAGGGTTCTAAAAGCAAAAGAGAAGACAATGTTGTTCAGCCAGAAAAAAGGATTTTTCTGCAGAGAAGTTTATTTTTCACTGCAATTCTCAATAAATAAAATTCCATTTACCAGAATAATACAGAATAAGAAACACCAGATTATATAATTCTTACCATCCACAAAAGTGCCAAAACACCTTAATATGAAGCAAAGCAAATTTCCCTTCAATTAAGGGTAAGTATTTATCCTTATACTTAGTCGAATACTGACCAATGGATTTTTTGATTGTGAAGTAGTAAATGAAAGTTACATGGTTAGACTTGACAGTCAAGTGTAGAATTACGTGGATATTTGCAGACAATTGAAACAAAATTCTCATTTATATATGAGGTTTTTATTTGCTTATGCAATTCAACAGCTGAGTCAGTCTCAGTTGGAGTAAATTCAGTTAAAATTACATTCTTGTATGAGAATTGATATGATACCAAATGTGCCATTCACATTCATACTCTTGGTCACGAGGCATCTTTCATGGTTCACACACTCAGTTAATCTAGGGGCCAGTGGTACGGGGCAGATGAAGTCACTGTCTGCACCGCTGTCCTCCCATATGGGTGCCAGTTCCAGTCCCGGAAGTTCTGTTTCTGAACCCGCTCCCTGTTAATGGCCTGGGGAGAGCACTGGAAGATGGCCCAAGAACCTGGGCTCCTGCTGGACACCTGTGAGACCTAGAGGGAGTTCCTGGCCTGGTCTACCTCTGCCAATGCAACCATCTGAGGACCAAACTAGTATATGGAAGTCTTCTCTGTCTCTCCCTCTCTCAAACAAACAAATAAATGCCCCAAACAAAATCATGCTGCAACAACCGTAGCCTGGGTGAAGTTATTCACATTGGGAGCATTAGTCTGAATTTTCTCCATCTAACTGTTGAATAATTTTAGTGTCCTAGACATGAAAACAGACTTTGGAATGTTGTGTCAATTTCACACCTGTCCAGGAGACCAACAGAGGAAGGGGCAGACATGAGTTGTCTCAGTTGAGAGCTGAAGGCGTGCAGCCTTCTCAGGACAAAAAGCTGGGATTTAGGGCTGACAGAAGTCCAGAGGAGGGAAAGTATTTCAGCATGCTTCATAAATCCCATGCATCGTATATACCATATTATTAACCTCTCTTTTACCACTCACAATACCTTTGCCATGCATGGACATGGACCATTTTCTCATTTTCTGGTGCAAATGGTATGGATTTTTCATTTATAAACAGATTTACATATTCATTTGACAAACTTGTCTAGTTCTTATCAATATTCCTTTTATACTTTCATAGCCACAAATTGATGACAGTTTTTTTTTTTTTTAATGACAGCAATTCTACCAGCCCGTGGCGTTCACTTGAGACAGCCTCCTTTCTACTCTATCAGCTATTCAGCAAGTTAGTGGCTTGCAAGGGTAGGGAACCTTTTGACTGCCATGGGCCATTTGGATATTCATAACATTAATCATGCCCATAAAAAATCATCAGCTTAAAAGTCAGCCTGCAATAGATCTATCAGATCAAAAGTTCCTCCTTGTCAGAGAAGACCAGATGACTGTGTGGTCTTCTGACAGTCCATGGCCCTTCTGCTCCCTAATCCTGGAAGAAAGCCTGGATGGCTGTTGGTGAGCAGAGGCCATGGAAGGGAAATATCATGAACAGGCTCCCTAACAGGAGGTCATGGGTTGTTCAAGGCTGAGACTGTTTCCTCAGTTTTATTATGCAGATAACACCTGTTCAAAGTGCTCTCCTAAGGAGTAAGTATGTCTTAGAAAGAAGGCCTATAGCCCAGTCTCAGTAAATGCCTTTCTTCCCTTGCTCTAATAATGAGCTCACAGACATGTGCAATAAAGCTTTTCCACTGTTACAATTGAAACAGCAAATCTGAAATGAAGGCAATTACAAACTTTGGGTGCACTAAGGGAATATATAACTTTATCCTGAAAATATAACGAAAAGTCACATTAAAAAGTAGTTGAAAATTCAAGTTTTCTAACTTTTCCAAAGGATTGATTTGATAAGTAAAACCCATTAGTCTCACTTAATCAGAGTATCCTTTGATGAGACAGCTCTCTTATGCGTCACAGACCCACCTCACCACACCGTGTTTGTCTTTCCTACGCCAACAGAAAAACACAGCCATGACCACTGAAATACAGTCACTAACAAATGTATGTTATTTTTAAGTTCTAATAAACTCTTCATTTTTTCAAAAAGAATTGATCATATCATATCAGACCTTTCTCAAACACAACAAAAAGGTGGTGCTAAAATAGCTGGCTTATTTTAAACTGTTGGAATTCTTTAGCTCATTTTACTGTTCCAAAAGCAGTCCATCTTTTTCAATCACTTGGGGATCTGTAAATATCCTCTTTTTTGGCATCTTAGAGTTGACATTATATCAGAAAATTTTACCCGTATGCCTGTCACACACTAGTAATTACTGTTTGTGGTATGACTTGGGCTTGTTCAGGACTTATTCAATATCAATAAAATTTGAATGCTTTCCAAGTTTTCACAAGTGAAAAGATCTAAAAGCTTAAGCCATATTTTACATATTTCAGCAAATGTCCTTGTATTAGCCTAGAAAACTTGAGAAATACTATTTGTAGGCACGTGTGTGATTATTTACATTTCTATTTATCCTAGAAGCAGAGAGACTCTTACAGAGAGAGAGAAGGAGGGAGGGAGAGGGAGGGAAATAGAGGGAGGGAGGGGGAGAAGGAGTAGAGAGACACACAGAGAGAGGGAAAGAGGATAAAGGGAGGGAGGAGAGAGACAGGGAAGGAGATGGGGTGGAAGAAAGGGAGGGAGAAGGAAAAGAAGAGGTAGAGAGGGATAAAGAGGGGGGAAAGAGAGAGAAGAGATTGGGACTGGGCCAGGCTGAATGTAGTTGGGAGCCTGGAACCTAATCCAGGTCTCCCATGTGGTTGGCAGAGAAGCACCTACTTGCTCTCTCAGTCCCTGCACCAGTAGGAAGCTCAAGTGGGAGCCACAGTAGGTATTCATTCAGGCACTGCGGCATGGGGTGAGAGCATTTCAATTGGAATCTAACTGCTGGGCTAAAGACCTGCCCCATGTAGCTGTTTCTAACTTCTTTATTATTATTTGCTACTAACTACTACTAGGACAACACTAAGCTCCAGCAGCTAAAGCAGGTGCTGAGAAATGTTTGCTAAATAAAATATTTGGATAATACCTGAAATTCCAATTTTATCCTTTAGCTATGGGGATTAATTCAGATGGCAATGTAATTAATGAATTCCAACCACAATCCTTTCTGTAGTATACACAGTATTCTAATTCATATTAGTATTATGTATATTTTAAAGATTTTACAAAATGCATTTACTTGTATTTCTTGGGCAGAGTAACTTTCTCTGGTAATTGATTAATTAAATGGTTTCAAATTCTTCAAATAATCTGGTTTACATGCTAATAATTTCTTGGCTATAAAGTAGGCTGTAAAATAATACAGAATACAATGAAATTAATGCTATCATTTAAGACTTTGAGGCTAAAAACAAACAATAGTAAAAAATACTAGCATAGTTAAAAATATTTTTGGTTGTAACAGAAATCTAGAATTAGTTTCCATTTGCTACATTAATTGTGAAGTCTCAAAGGGAGGTTATGGTTTTGAATAATTTTGTAATATGAGCTTACTATGTGCATCTGAGACATCTAAGAAAAGGTTGGAAGTGAAACAAATTTAGGAGGATTAAACATAGTAATCAGGAAAATAACCAATAACATGATTGGAAACTTCCAAATTATACATTTTTGAAGAATCACATTTACTTAAAAGTTGGCTAGCTAGCTGGCCCCAAATTCAACCACTACCATTTTGGTTTACAGAACAAATTTGCAAAAATCCACGTAATTCTTAGTGTGTTATTTGTTTACCGCAAATGTTTTTCTTAATAAAATGAAATAATTTAAAATGGAAATAGTCAATGCTAGCAATTCAATATTCACACGCACAGGAGTAACCCTGTAAAACACAAGCAACATGTGTACAGCACAGCAAAGAAAAGCTCTTCAAAAGAGATGGGAATATCAGCTCTAAGATACTAATGTTGTTATTACTTTTCATAACAATTTTAAGATAAACTGAGGTTTCCTTTTCCATAAGATAAACCCACCCTAAAATAAATGGCAAAAATTAAACCTTATACACATAGTTACTTAGTATCACTGATTGCTGAAATAACAAGGGAATGACATACAGAAAAATGTTTTATAAAAAAAAAACCCAAGTCTATCATTAAGTAAATCAAAGTTAAATGTGATAAAGTAACATGAGATCTAAGCCCCAGATCATGTTCAACATTAAGGTAAAAATTCCATCGATGGAAAAACATTTTTTACTCAGAGATCATTAACTAAAACAATGCTCTTGTTATTTCTTGCAAGGAAAGTCCTGACCGCCTGTACAACACTCTTCTGGAATCTACTTCCGATATCTGTCATGAAGCAAACTCAGACTTATTTTATCACGGTTACTTCTATCCTGTCCATTAAGAGTCTTAGGTGACATTAAAGTTTAAGGATGTGGATATTTAAAACAATTCACAATAATTTTGTAATACAAATAATAAACTTTTCATGTTTTGGTTAATTTTCTTAATTAGAAAGTTACTATACATCTTCATAAAACAACCAGTGATACAAATTTTCTACATCAGAGGAAATTATGGGAAATGAGTTTGCATGGTGCACTCCAAATGTTATCTGCAAAACTAACTTCAGAAAATGTTCCCCTGAAGTTAGTTGCAGCATACAATCCTTGATGCAAATATGGACATTCAATTTTAACGGTCATCTGGTCTGCATCCCACTTCAAAGTCACTGGGTAACAAAGAGGAAATGCTGAACAGAAGGAACCGAGAGCAGATGCCATGGTCCTTCAGAATACAGCACGCTTTGTTTACTTAATCTTTTTGATTGTATTCTGGGTGAAGCAACATGTATATCAACAACTTAAAGATT